TTTTGTCTCATCTGGTTGGTTTAATATCTTGTTTTTGCATGTTATTAGATGTATCCGCAAGGAAGAATGTCTCATCATTTTAGAGAAATGCGTGAAGGTGATTATCTGGCTGTAAAAGGACCAAAGGTACGGTTTGTTCTGTCAACAGGATCTATTTTGCACACCAATAATGTGACAATGGTATTGTCCTTTTGGCTCGCCTCCCCTGGGAGAAATAGAAAATATACTGTCAAGTTGACATGGAACCTGATTCTTTATTGATACGCTAAAAGAAGGATATGATTAGTTTTATAGCAAAGTCTTTTTATGTACTGAAAATAGCTAAATCTTGCACTCTGGTACGTTGTAAATCCTTTTCTCCCATAGAATTTTATTGATAGATTAAATATTTGCTTGAGAATTGATTGCAAGATCACATTTATCGTTCGACACATGCAATCCTCAGACGGGGATTTTCATGTCCTCGAAGGCTAAAATTTATTGATCTACTAAATTTGGTGTGCAATTTCATTTTATTCCTAAAGAAGAGTACAACAAATCACTTCATTCCCAGAATGCAATAAAGAAACTGAAAGATTCAATGCTTTGCATCAAAGTGAAACATTTGATTTAGCACTTTCTCACTTATGCTTGGAGCGTGACAATTTCATTCGGAGGTAATGACATATGTCCACCTCACAGCATGAGTACTAAATTTTCTCTATAAACATTGCAGTTCTTCAATTTTCAAACATATGATCAATAGGAAATTCCAAATTTATCTACAACTCTATCCCAAGCATTTTAGCTTCCTTCTGGTGTTTCAGAATTTGCATTTGGTTGGAAATAATCTCCATTCTCCCGAAATAAATAATTTTACTATATAGGAATGTTGCTTATAGAGCTACTGAGCTACTATCATGAGTTCATGACAATGTCTTCCAGGCCCAAGTAGATCTTATAATTGGGTCTCAGCATTTTCCTAGTTTTATTTATCTCATTAAATTGTTAAACAAACTGCAAGAAGAAATTCAAATAGACATATTCAGCATTTTTTTATTTTTTTATTTTTTTGAGGACACAGCATTCATAAGACAGAGTTTTAACGTTTTCAAAAACAATTATGCGAAAATTTTACTACACTTTTAGACAAATAAAGTTTAGAAACTTCTCAAAGAACAGTGTCCTTTGCTGCTTTTAATATTTAAAAAGGATTAAGGAAATCGTCAAAGCATAATGAGATTCATATTATTTCTTCCATTGAGAAATTTGTGTTATGATCTGGGAATGCTACATTATTTATAAAGAAACTACACAGCCGCACATATTTCGGTTGTTCATGTTGCAGATCAATTATTTTTTGGTAAATCCTGGCCCATTTTTTTCAGGCCTGAAATGGTTATCTATGTCGAATTAGCTTTTTTCTCATTGGCATTAGTTTGGGTAAATTTGATGATGCACAGTGGAATTAAAATTTCTATGATTGTAGCTTCTCTTAATTGGGAACTTTTCTGTACTAGGGTCGATTTAAGTATCAACCAGGCCAAGTGAGGGCATTTGGGATGCTTGCTGGAGGGTCTGGCATTACTCCAATGTTCCAGGTTATACTTGGGAATCTCTAGTATCTTGCTTGAGATATATACCCAGAAAAAAAACATGATGAATTGCTTATTAACCGTGCTTTTTGTCCACAAATCTCATTGTTTCTTTTTTGTTTTGTTTAGGTAGCCAGAGCTATTCTTGAAAACCCAAATGACCAAACAAAAGTGCATCTGATTTATGCTAATGTTACATATGAGGACATTCTTTTAAAGGTATTTCACAAACTCCCTTTCCAGTATATTCCTTTTGAATACTACTTGTATGCCAAGTTGTATGTTTATTAAGGGAACCAAATAAAACTAGATTGATGCTAAAACTCCTTTTTTTGGGAGACTGATAGCTAATACTATTATTGTGAACTGTAGTAATGTTGGGGGCTGAATTTCGTGAGAAAAAAAGGAGAGAAATTAGTTTAATAAACACTAGGATCATTGATCTATTTGCCTTCTAAATTAATCCATGTGGAGGAAGGGCATAAGGCTTAAAGATCTTTTACTTGTATATTCATTTATGTTCATTGCAGGAAGATTTGGATAGTCTTGCTACTAACTACCCTGATCGTTTTAAAATTTACTATGTACTGAATCAGGTTAGTTCTCTTTGTCCATTATTTAAATCCTTTGTGACGATATATTAGCCTCAACCTAAGTCGATTGGTTTAGCTAGCTTCATTTATTTTACCGCTTTCTTCATCTTCGGAATTGGGGAATTTGATATATTCATTTTGCGGCTTCAATTTTTTCTCCTCTTCCTTGTGAACTCCTTTTTCTATTTATTTACTGAAAGACAAAATTAAGTTTTTTACGTACATATATTACTCCCTTACATTATCTTTAACTCAATTTTTAATTTGAAAGGATGGATCAACTTATGTGCATTAGTACAGATTTATGACTATATTTGTCTAATTTATGCAATGAATCACTTGAAAGTTTCTCTATGTACATCTAAATATGCCCTTGAATGAGCCATCTTTTCTAAAAACTCATTTTTTTCCGTAAACTCGTTTTTAATCAATAAAATAAGTTTGCATCTAAAGCCAAAACTTTTTCCTACTTTTTAACTACACAAATTTTCAAAAATTCACTATTTCAAAATCTTTTTTTCTTTTTT